AAAATAAGGGTTCTAAATATTCTGGGGGGGACGGTAGGGGCAAGCGACAGGCTGTTCTTCTGTTCCCTCCTCGCCGAGACAATGTTTGAAACAACTCATAGAAGATTTTCACCAAACTTTCAAACTTCAAGCGAAAATCGATCAGTCTAGAATGGAAAGCTGAACGTGCATATACCCACTGAAAAATTTGTCGAATAACATGGTCAGGCTAATCTCCGGTCTGTCTGCTCTGATAGGGGGCCTTTACAATGACGGGGCCTTTTTTTGAAAGTATCGTATTGTACAAAGAAATGAGTCCATACATCCCAAAGTTCCTCCTTTCAAGGCATAGGCGAAAAATCCATCCATTGTATGCATTTGATTCTTCACACTTTTTTTAGCGTAAAGTGCTTATCCTTATTGGATTAACCCGATGTCGCTGCATACAATGTAAGCAACTTGCGCTTTTATGCATTGCTCCACCTTTTCATTTGGAACTATTCAGATATGCATGAATTTTGGTCTTACAATTAACTGGAAAATGTGAAATAAAGCAAACATACCGCTTCCACACACGCTCCCTGCGCCGATAGATCCGCTCTGCAGGTCGTGCTACTGTTCCCCGAAGCTCTCTTCTCTGCTGCAACACGAAACATGAAGTTTGAAAGATATTGCAGGTTACTATTGGAATCAATAAAGAACAACTTTCAGAACAGAGTTCTGATCCGGAGCAAAAAAAAGTAATTTTTCGCAGCCTGTTTATGGTTTCAAAATTTGCACAAGAGGCATTCGCACGCTTTTGTTCCTAGAAAACGGGAATAACGCTCTACAAACCTAATTACGCTAAGGCTAGGCTAAATTCATCGAATAGAATGTTCCCCAAAACCCATGCAAAGTAATTCTCCGCTATGAAAAGAACTGCTAGAAGTATCAAAGTTGCTGTTCTTTTGATTCACTGTGCCAGAAGGTTTCTAGGTGGAACTTATTGATCCAGTCGACACGGCCTAGATCAATGAAGAGCCCCACCTAACCGCCTCCCTACAGTGAATCGAAAAACTGTTTGAAAAACTTCATAAACGTTTCTGCAGCCATCAATAAAGCGTTTTTCATGTTTTCAGGCAACGTACCGACCTACGACAATTACGGGATTTGGCGACCAGAAAAGACACGCTCAGGCAGTTACTGTGACACAAGAGCCAGGGTGATGGCATTGAGAAGGGAAAACAAATAAGCACGTAGTATTTCTCAATGATACAGTAAGCTTATGCCTGGATACACAAGCTAACCACAAGGTCAAGGGCCTTCTTGAACATTAGTGAGCGAAAGCTTAGCTCCCAGGGCTCCGGTCGTAATTTGCCGACATGAAGAATTCGCCACTCAGCCGAATCAAATTCGTTCCTTTTTGAGCCAGTAACAATCTGGTTCACTACAGATACAGATCACTAATGCTCATAGGGTCTTCCACTGCTCACACCACGAACGAAGCGAGGTCTGAGCCTAGTACTCGTTCTATGAGGGGCTAGTTTCTTACCGAAATTTCAGATTAAAAAACGTGGGAAGAATGGCTTGCACACGAAGAGGTGAGGTGCTAACGTAGTTGGGAGGGGCCAGCGGCTCGCGGCGAACGATGACTCATAGACTCTTCTGCTTCATCCTCGGCAAAAAAGAAGTAATTTCATGTTTAGGACATGGATATAACACCGTCCTAGCTATATTCAAAAGCTAAAACAGTTAAGGCTGAAAAGTGAGAAGAAACAACAGTGTGCTAGCTGGCGAAGATTGCCAAAAAACACAAACGGTTGTTTGCCTTTTTGTTGATTCCTGGGTATTAAAAAGCAAACATTGTTGTTTTCAGGCTTTTTGGGACTGTACTCAGCAAGCTTCGGGGTGAGACTTGTTTTGTTTTATATTCTAATTTTGCTGCTAGGATGATCGCTCCAAAGATGTCAAATGATGAAGGTGATGAGCTCCACTCGCTCGAGCCGCGGGCCCCTCTACCAAACTACGTTACAGAAGGCAAATGTTCGTCTCTGTCTCGGCTTACGTTATACTCTCCCCAACTCGATTAGAAGAAAGGAGACAGGCGGATCTTCAACTTTCTCAGAGAATGGGCGATAAAGCAGTGGACGTGAAATGATCGATTCCGATCGCACGGTCCAAACGGCTGTACCGCGAAGTTCGAATGCGCTTTTAGGAGACACGACGTGCCGGGCTCTATCTATCGAAGCCGATCGATATTTCATTGATGGTTTTGATGCGCGTCGTACCAAAACGCCCGGTCGCCGATTCTCCTGTACCCCCGATTCGCTAAGTATCACGCGCCTGGACTACTGGGAATCGAAACAATACATACCTGCATGACCGTCTTTGGTGCTGCGCGGGGTGCATTATTAATAACAACGTATTCTTCATCCTTATCCAACTGCCACACAAACTAAACGAAAGACGAAAGAATAGTTACAACTTAACACCGTACACTTTTCATGTCCTCGAAAAGCAATAAATAGGATGAAAATCAAGCATTTCAAGAAATCGCTTACCGCTAATCCTCTGAAAGCATCGAAACAGCCTCTAACCAATTCACAGCACACGTTCCAGAGAAGATGCGACATCTTGTCAAAACATCTGAAAATGCCACGGGTAAAGTTTTTTGAAAGCTTGCCATCGTAGCACAAGAAGAAGCTGCATGATCTCAGCTATATCAAATAACACGTAGACGCGAGAATTTCCAAGAAACAGTACATAAAAAAGAGAAAATGTCCTAAAACTCAAAAGCTATTCTCTTCAGTGAATAAGAAAATCCTACTGTAACGGGAAGCAAGAGCGCACGTAGCTGCGCGTCGACTTCATTGTCATTGTGATACGCAGTTTTATACGTTAGATGGCGCCCTTTAATAAGAGCCAGCACTTCTCCCCAAAACTCAATTTTGGATATTTGTTAAAATATTTTATTGGTGTGAAGTAATAAAATGCAGCAATTTAATCAATCATGAGGTGTTACGTCTTAAATGTGTCCAGCTGAATGCCTTCGTAGTGGTCTGTTTACTGGGTCTCTGTGAGCGTCATGACCTGCGCTATTTTCAAGCAAAAATAGTTTTCAATTATTTTCATACTTATAGTCTTGGATAATGGCTCCCGCACGTAAGGGAAAGGCTAAAGAAGAGCAGCCTGTGGTCACTCTCGGACCTCAGGCTAAGGAAGGCGAGCTTGTCTTTGGTGTTGCTCACATCTATGCATCATTCAACGATACTTTCGTCCATGTCACTGATATTTCTGGTAAGTTTCTGAAGCTTTTTTTTCCTCATAAGATTCCAGTCTTCACTTTCCTTTTTTTTCAGGGCGTGAAACTATCGTTCGCGTCACTGGTGGTATGAAAGTTAAAGCCGATCGAGATGAGTCTTCGCCATATGCGGCTATGCTGGCAGCGCAAGATGTGGCTGAGAGGTGCAAGCAGGTCAGCTTTTTTTCTTCGGAATTGCAACATTTTTATGAAACTTTTGTATGTACGTCATTTCTAGTAACATCTCAGCTTTATTGTCAAACCTCCTCAGTTCTGTCGCCATTCTTGTAGAGAAGTGAGAGAAAAGGAGAGTGAAAGCGTTGAGAGAAAAGCTGCAAGGACGCTATGTTCTCGTAGGCTGTTATGTTTGCTTGGTTGCCTTATACATGCAACCGTTGTTGCCTATTATTGCTGTCTTGTGAGACAGTTACACTCCTTATCCCTGGGCGGAGTAGTTGTAGCATTTGAACATGGCATGGGTTGCTCGGATTTTTCAGCTTGAGACAACTGTCATGTTGTTCAGTTTGGGACAGAGACATGACCTACAATTATA